TATGTTGGCAGGAGAATGTCTTCAACTGACATAGCTCTGTCCACATCACCGCTTTTGTAGGTGAAACTTTACGTCAGTCAGGGGTGTCTTTTTCACACCACTGACCGACAAAAGCCTAACATTGGTCAGTTAGTATAATGGGATATCATTAGCACTCTATTTAATAGATAGATCAAGTTATTTTCTTCCATTTCAAGATCTAGAATCCCACGATTACTGCTATATTGGAATCTTTTTCTATGGCAGTTTGATATACTACTGATAAAAACCTGGATTAAACAAAAATGTACATTTTATATGTAACAAAAGATAACATTACGGTTGTCGATCAAAATATCAGACTAAAAAGTACCTTGGCCTCTAACTGATAGTTTTAGTTGGTATTGCCTTAGGGAATAGGTGCTGTTTTGATAAAAATAATAACTTAATTATACTATACAAATTGCCCTGACCAAGGTACTCATCACATTGAACAATAATTTAATATACTACAAAAACATTAGAAAACAACAATATTAATCATAGGGGGATAAGACATAATTAATACAAAAATCACATCAATACTCAACCTGGCTGATGATGAAACATTGTCCCTTTCCCCTCTCAAAGAAACGTAGTTCATAGATGAGTTTTCACTTTCTCATGTCTCCTCTGAGAATAGTTTAAAAATTAAAATGTCATGCTTCTTCATCTCAGATTAAATACTTTCCCTTCACAGCCAAGACTGTGGTAATAAAATCTATCATTTTTACCATGATGGGCTGTCAAGATTAAACGAGAGGTGGACATAGAAAAGAGGGAAAGAAAAAACAAAGGACCTGATATTTGCTTTGTGATCTAACCCTTAGTAAGGAGCACTGCCCTAGGAGCATCCCAGGAGGGAAAATGCAACTCAGGGAACCACAGTCTCACTCCAGGTCACCTTGCTGCTCTGGAGAGGTGCAGGGTGACCAGGTGAAACAGGGCTACATTGCAGGATCCCTGACACGACAGCGTAGCTATGCCACCAGGTGTTTTGGGGGGAGATAGAGCTCCACCCACTCAAAGGGGAGAGCTATTGAGTATCAGTTATGCAGAGTTGAAGTCTACTCCCTTGTGCTGGTGACAGGATGGGTCCTGATCTGCTCCTGAGGTATTGAGAAAATGCTCAGTTACAAGAACTTTTATATTTGTGTCATAGGTTCATAGAATTGAGACATCTCTGTGCATCGCACATGTTGATCTGTCTCTCTGACATATCCTCCCAGATGTCTTTACCATCACCATCATGATTGCACCCCAACACCTGGCTGTTGCCTTGGACTCTCACTTCACTTCTGGACTCAGTATTGCCAACCCCAAGCATTCAAAAATTATGCCTGGCCTCCAAAATATCATGAGATTGACTTAAAATCATGAGATTTTAACATATAATAAATGTTGGGTTCTTTGCATTCATTTTCTGGCTTTTGAGCTTTTTAGTGATCATGTTTACAAGTTTTTCTCTATGAGTGCTAGAAACGTACCTACATTTTAAACAAAAATTGAGATAATTTAAAATTATAACTGGGTTCAAAAAAGGATTGGATAAGTTTATGGAGGATAGATCAATCAATGGCTATTGGCCAAGCTGGTCAGAAAAGCAACCCCATATTCTGGGTGTTCCTGAGCCTCTGACAGCCAGATGCTGGGTCTGGACGATAAAATCACAAGAGTCAACAACAATGTGTGCCACACATCTAAGTCATGTCCACATCTTGCTGTTTTTTTCCGTTGTAACAACTCTGAGATCTGGCCTTTTCTATCAACTAAAATTCCCATCTAGGCTCTCGTGATTTCTTGTCTAGGCTCCTGCAATATTCTCTTCTCTGGTCTCCCTGACCCACATTGTCTATTAAAAATACAGCTGCTATGATCACCTTCCCGGACCAATTAAATCAACTTCCTCTTTGGATGCCTTGAATTCACCACATTAAATTCAAGCTTCTTGTCCTCATCTTTAAGGATGGTCCCTAGTCTGCCCCTCTCTATTTATTTCCCCCGTAAGTGCTCTTGTGCCATCTTCCTTGCTGACTCTTATGCTTGCAGCACTTCCCCAAACTAATCCATGAAGCCATTACCCTCTTCTGCTTTAAATCCGTCATGCAACCGAACAGAGCCAGAGCTCCCACAAAACTTTTGCAGGGGAGGGACAGGAAGTGAGACAACATGACCCCACAACCACCTCCCAATGGCAACACGTGGCCCCAGGAGCCTTTCATCTTTCAGGGAGTGAAACAGCAGCTTTCCCAACTCTGGGCTAAGTTGGGGAAGAGAGATCTAGGCTCTCCTCCAGATACCCCCTGGAAGCAGTACTTGTACCTTGTGGTCAATCGCTTTGCTGGATTAGCAGCTTTCTCCTACTATCACTTACCATTCCTAGTTCTACAGCTTAAGTGATAATAATCTGTGTTCCAATACAAGAGGTGCAGCATTCAAACCCTGCTAGTGATAGTTACAGTTGAATATCAAAGAATTTTTTTTTAAAGTAAGGAATTATGTACAAAAACCTTTGTTAAAAAGCACTATTTACATTTCAAAATCAAATTCTGGAAAGTTAAGAAATCCAGTTTACAGTTTTCTGTACAACATTAATTCAGCCCTTTTCTGCACATGTATTATGATACAATCTTTAATTAAATTATCACAAATTTTTTTCCATCAGACCCCTGCCTCACTCAGTGAACAAGAATGCGTAAGCGTCATAATTAAATTTGCATTTAAAATTGTAAATTGTATCATAGCCTAACATGAGTGTTTTTCTTTTTTACTGCAGCCTAAACAATATTCCTTTAACAGTTTTATTGTAATATAAGTATTTCCAAAATGGTAATGCTACAATACTTAATGATGATATTAAATAAAACCAGTCCTGCCACTGACTGCTGGTGTGGGCAACTAGACACTTCCCCCAACACCATTTTTTGCCATATGTAATTACCCTTTGTTTACTTTACTTCAACATGTTTTGAATTCAAGTGACAGGTTAATATCTAATGTGATCAAAATGAACTTGTGCCCAGACTGTGACAGGTTGTTACGCAGTTTTCCAGGTAACCAGGGACCAGCCAAGGAGCCTTCTATGTGCTCTACTCAAAGCCACGTGAAACTTGAAGTCCCTGTGTTCAGATAAGAGCAGGGACTGCTACCTCCATGCCACACCAGCAACCCATATTGTCCTAAAAGTCCCCATTCCATATCTACTCACTTAGCGTTCCAGGTGCTAATCAGCAAGCATGCTGCTTGCCCAGGCATGTGTAGTGGCAGGCTCTCTCCCCATGCATGTTGCGGAGCTCTGGAAGGCATTCATCCTGAATCAGAGTATCTCCCAGATCCCCCTGGACAGTACAGCTCTGTATCAACTCTAAATGGAGCTGTACTTTTAATGTACATCCGACAGTTTGCAAGACACGCTATTAAATGACTTCTCAAAATGTAAAGTCCATATTCTGATCTGATTTACACTCCTAAAAGCCTGAAGCCACTTCAATGAAATCAAAAGAGTTACTACAGATTTAAAGGGGAATAACTGAGAACAGAATTTGGCTGTAGATATATTGGGCTAGATCCTTGGTCCCACCAAAGATGCTTTTGTGCTGCTCCAATAATGTAAAGCAGCCTTAAAACTGGTTGAAATGGCTAGCTGGGGAAACTCCTGGGTGGTGAAGGATTGGTGTAGCTAGCACCACACCACTGTCTCCTGCCCCTTACCCCCACCTCTCAGCTACCCAGTGTAAAGCATGTAGTGGGGAAAAGAAAGCGTTACAAGAACACCCCAGAATTTCATCAATCTCTAGCTGCTAAAATGGCCACCTAGGGTCTATTGCAGCATGTACAACTTACACACCCTTCGGGACACTCTGAGTTGTTCCTCAAGACTATATTGGTGTCTAGCAGCCCAAGGATCAAGGAGCCATAAGGTGGAATCATCTAACATCAAATGGCTAGTACTGAGCATTTTGCTTGTTATATTCACTAATTCTGTAATTCTAAAATAAATATATAATGTTTGTGTGGGACTGATTTTACAGATTAATGCTTTTGTTATCCTCTAGAAATTTAGGAATCTTTCTCTTAATAGTTGTTTCATTATTTTATAAGACAAGACATGAAAGTTAGCTTTTGGTAGTAACACTGCGCACAGACGCAGAGATGCAACTCAAGTTGAGTACTTCTCTTGCTGCTTTCCCATTTCCCCCACCAAGATCGACACTACATGTTCTTTTCTCCAATCTTCCACAAGCTCCCTGGTTTTCATTAGGTTTCCAATATGGTCAATAGATCAGTTAAGTCCATAAGCTACAAACTACTCAGTGCCAGAGTACCACTACTCACAAGTGAAGCAGCTTGCTGGACTTGGGCCTAAGTTCTTTGCTACTTCCCTTAATACCTCATGATGCATATCCTAACATACTGATGTGTATATGTTTGAATTTTCCAAAACATTGACGTATCTGCTCTTTATCAACACCTATTTCACCTTTGACTAGGAAGGGAAACAGAGGTATCATATATGAATCACACTCTGTACCACTCTAAGACACAACACCATATTTTCTATCAGAAGAAATTGGCACAAAACCAGAAGCACTTAAATGCTTATCTAGTTACATATCAAACATAGATAATGCATCATGGATCAGATTCTCAGTGCCAGATGCTTCATCTTTCTTTGGAGCAGTCCTCCTGGGGCCAGAGTGCTAACTCTACAGCCTGTATCTGACAGCAATGCAGCACAATGCTGCCACAGTGCACCAGGAGCCCAATTCAGCTAAGCACATTGCTTCCGTGCTCTGCTGAAGTTGTACAAAGAAGATCTGGCCCATGTACCATTCAGCAAGTAAGGAGGACAGAAACCTCCCAAAACACAGGAATTGCATATACACACCTCCCTTTATTTTTCAAACTATTTAAAAAATATAATCTGAATACTTTAGATACTGACTTAAAAATATAGTGAATAAGAGCAGGTTGGGCCTTACCGTTACACCAAAGAAGTTGGTTTCATTCATAGCATCCAGAAATATTTTGCCAAGTTTGTGGTTTGTGTAGTTAAAATCCTCGATTTTTTGGTGTTTGTTTGTAGTGTTGAGATATTTCATTGCCCGCTGCAGTGTTTTGGCAATCACCCATATTCCATCGTAGGCATAACCATGAAATTTACTGGACTGTCCATCTCCCCGTTTGTCATTATACTCCTTTTCATACTGCTGTGGAGTCTGTGGAGAAGGAAATAAAACTTCATGACATAGCTCAGGACTTCACAGAATCTTCATTACAAGTGTCCCACTGATATAGAAAAGATTTTTAAAGCAAGGGCTAGGAAAGAGTTAAAATCCCATGAGATCATGCATTCTTATTAATTTTAAGAGTGATGGTGGGAGATGGAGGAAAAGAGTCTGGAAAGAGATGAATATGTATTTCACAGACTGTGTATGTAAGAAGCACCCATTTTAAGTAATTTTACTTTCATCCATCAGTCTTCCATTCCAATGCATCCAGCATCTTGGGTTGCAAACTGCTGAGCCATAGAATTACCGAAGGGGAAGATTTTTCCAGATCTCTGTAACAGAGGTTTGGGTTTGCCCTGAAGTGAGGTTTTAAAACCTTATAATTTTTTCCTATGTAAGTGATTTTTTAAAAAAAATCACAAACTTGTCTAGGTTTTGTTGTTGTTATTGTTTTGTTTCAGAATCTTGCTAAGCTCTTGACCTCAGTAATGGCTTGTTGCAATGAGTTCCAGAATGGTAGCATTTTGCACTCAATCTGCACAGGTGTGAATGACTATATGAGGGCAAAGCAGTGGCGAATCAGGCCCATTTTTTCATGGGCTGGGACTTTATGCATTATATTTTATACAGGAACAAATACACACAACACATTCAAAGTGTTAAAAAGAACATCTCAAAAAGACAAAGAACCTTCAGAAATCATACACGTGGTTATGTGATAAGCTGGCATGCTGCATATTTATCTATCTAAAATCTGGAGCACATCCAATCCTGTGAGTCACAGAGAGCTAGTGAGGTTAACAATTTGCAGGATCAGGCTTTACCGAGTATAAATAATGTATACAGCTAAGGAAGTAGATAGCAAAAAAAAGGTTTCTAATGATCTGTCTGCCCTGCATAGTATCTAGTATTGTGGATTGTAATTTGGGGATTTTGTATAAGGCTTGTGCATTACTGCCTTAAGGGCATGTATGTGTAACTGACTGCAGGGAAAATCCAAGAACAAAGACAACAGGGAAAGGGGTTTTATCTGTATATCACCCTGCAGAAGAGAAGAAATGATATCTTATGTGTTTTAAAATAGCATACTGGAGGGGGAGGATAATCATATTAGCTGCTATACAAGTACAAATAAGTAAATAATAAGGATGATAATTAAAAAGAAATGAACTGACATTGTTTGATCAGAATGTTAATATACTTAACATTTTTCCAGTAAGCATTGATGTCAAAAAGTGACTCATGGAAAAACATGAGCACCTCTGATTAAAAAATTGTTTGGAAATTCCTCGTCAATTGCAATGGCAGCCTTAGTTCTAGGTCTAATAATAGGTTCTTCCTAGGGCACCCCATTGTAAGGGGCACCAAAAACATAGGATCTGGTTGCTCTCTGCGCCTTGCAGTTGCCTGTAGTAATAATGCTGTGTTCTACGCTCGGCATCGCCTTCTGAGGAAGGCTACTCCATAGCAGCACTTCTCTTCTGAGGCAAGCTACCTGCCTCTTAGCTGTGCTAGCAGCAGCAGCAGCGATTTCCTCCTCATTTGGGCCCCTAGAAAATCTTTGGCCAGAAGATGGGGAGCGGGGAGGTGGAAACGAAATGAGTCATGGAAGAGGTAGAGAGAGACCTGGGAAAGGGGCAGGAAAGTGAGAGGATAACGTAGGAGGAAGTGGACCAGACAGGGAAATCTAAATGTGGGAGGAGGGAAGCAGAGAGATGGACATAAATTGGTGACAAAGGAGACTGGGAATAGTAGGTGAAACTTGGGGAAACCTAGGGAAAGATGTGGAGCACCCAGAGATTGGTTCTAAGAGTCCTGAGGATCCCTGTACTTCCTAGACATTCATCCCCAACATTGTGGGGCTGGAGGGGTGGGCCTGCTCCAAAGTTCCCAGCACTGTTTAGAGTCTTTTCCAAGGGAAATGAAGCAGCAGGCCCTTAGGAAAGGTCTGCAAGATGATGAGGAAAGGGCTGGGGGCTTGAGGGAAAAGAGACAGTGTTTAGGGACAGAGGGAGATAAAATGAGGGCAGGAGGAGAAAAGAGAATGAGGGTTACATAAAAACATGGCAGAAATAGAGGATTGTTGTGGAGACTCTGGTGTGAGAGATGAGGGACTGCTTAATGCTTGCTGTACTATGACTATTTCTGCTGGTAGTTATTAGTCCCTCTCTTTCCTGATCACTAAATTCACCCAAAGACACAAAATATTTAAAAAGCTACCCGACAATGTCTCTTTCCGTAGTTATCAAATTTTTAAAATTTGACAGGCGAAGTAATATGTACATTAGGGGAATATTTCTGAATGTTAAAAAGTAGTTGAAAGAAAGATACTAACCCGTCCTGATATGGTCTTTATCACTTTTGAACTGAGAGGTTCAAAATCCACTCCAATGTAACCTTCCATGGCAGTAAGAAGGTTTTTGCTGAGACAGTGTGAAGAATTAATCCAAGATTCCCACCATGAACTTTCATACCACCCAGGAATGATCCACTGATATTTACTGCCATACATCTCCTCATCATAAGCCTACAATAATAATAATAAAAAAATCTGTAGACAATGACTAGTTTACTGGTCAAAACACTTACAACAAACATCAGAAATAAAAGGTCTCCTGTTTAAGTTTTTACATAATGAATTTACTGCATAATTAAAGAATGCAAAAATATTTTAAATAACTTATTTTTTAACAGTGCAGATTTCTTTTTTGTTTCCAAATTTATGTACATGAGGATAGCATTTTACAAAATAATAAGTCAAAAGCTGTTCAAAACCAGTTTAATTAGAAGAACAAAAAAGTACGTGGTATCTAAAGGGGGGGGGGTAAACACGATTGAGGGAAGTAGAGCAATCCCATAAGAAATCCTCTATAAGGTGGCTTTCAACCTCAGTCTGAGAAGAGTGGAAATAGATGAGTATGTGTGCATATGCACAAACATGCACTGTTAGTGTGAAACAGCCACATTAAACACCATCATTATATTATTTTTCTTTAGGTAAAGCACACTTGATTTCAATTAATGACATAGTATCAGAGCAGAATGTAACCTTCTGCTGCAACATTGACATTAAAGTCTTATCAACTGATAAAGAATCATCCAAAATTGAAACAAAAAGTAGGGAAAGAATATAACCAGAAAATCATCAGCCTGTAACCCAGAAGACAAAAATTCACAATGTTTCAAATGTTCATGTTGTGATCTGATAAAATAAGTAGAAGAGAAACATTAACTAGATATTTGTTTTTTGAGAAGCATGAAGCAATGGTAAAGTTTGTGGCATAGCAAACAAATTTTGCAGAATTTCTCTTTTAAATAATAAACTATTTAATATTGAAATCTACTTTTCAAAACATTGAGCACAGCCCATTAAACCCACAGAGACAGGAAGTCTTACTTTAACTACACAAAACACACAGAACAGAGGTATCCACAATACTTTATTTTTCAGACATATATGGTAACATGCATGAAAATGTGTTCTCCATGCAGAAGAGGAATTTATTAGGGATGATAAAGGAATCCTGAACTTTTGTATTGTGAAGGAAAGTCTCTTTTATCTAGCATAAAATCTGCAAATCTTTCCTGAAGGTCCTCTCTCCTTGTCGCTGCTGGATGTCTTCCTGTAGACATTTCAGTTTCTTTCAAATAGTAATTTTCATGTTTCTTTGCTTCTTCACAAATATGTGGGATATTAGAGATGCAAGGCATGTAATGGAGCTAAAACAGATGCCCAAGTCTTTTAGAAGTATATGATAGAACCCTAAAACCCTTAAATGTAACAGACTTTCATAAAATCTGAAAAAGGAAGAGCTTCTTACAAATATTCATTTTTTCATCTGCATCAGCCTTATAGAGAACAGACTAGGAGCAGAAGAGAGAATTAGCCAGGATATGAATATGAGACATGCTGCTTACTCAGAATACAATCCTTATGAAAAATATTCCTAAGAGGATCTGAGGAAGGCCCTGGGGATACTTGAAGATGAGATGGAAATGTTAAAGCAAGAAATAGAAACATGGACAACTCCCAAATGAGGTTAATGACCAGGTGTAGGAGGAATGTTAGAGTTGGGTTTTATGCCTGCCTGGACTATTACACTGCATCCAACTCTCACAAATTTACAGCGAGCAAGGCAATTTTGTTTGCCCCAGCTGCAGGAACTCAGTTGAGATCAAGTTACACAAATTATGTATATAATGTGCTGCTTGATGGAGTGGAGGGCCTTCAGCTTCTCCAAGAACGCCAAAATACCGATTAATTACCTGAGTGTGCCCCACAGCTATATCTTAATTAAATTGTGCACCTCCACAGTCCCACATCAATTCCATGCTTACCCAGCCCCACTGCAATTAATTTTGTGCCCCCAGCCCAACAGAAATTCTGCCCCTCCACCACACATATGCACCTTGCTCCACTGCACACCTCTGCTCCTCCTACAGCTGAAGAGGTTCATCGTCCTCTCCCCAAACCTGTGACAGAGGCAGCTCCAAGAGCTCTTGACCGCAGCCCTCCAAGACTTGGAGAAGGGCAGATCTAGGGGTTTTTCTTCCATCAGTACACTAGAGTAGCACTTAACAGAGTGCACTGGTCAGATAAAGTAGGTTTACTGCTGCTTTGCATCCCCAGAGCAATACAAAGCAGCCAATGCGTAATCACGAATCTTCCTATCTGGCCAGCTCTCTGGGCTGACCAAGTTCCCAGTTGGCCAGCTCCCAGGCTACTCACCTAGTGGGGAAGTTGGTGGGCTCCTGGGCAACTGGCTAGGAGGCAGAGACACAGCATGAAAATTTTGAAAAATTCTGTTTCAGTTCTTCCAAATCAGAATTTTTCAAAAATGTTGATTCTGTGAAAAATTTCACTTGTGGAATGATTTTTTTTTTTGAAATATAAAATTTTCCATGGGATGGAAATGCTGGTTTCCACACAGCTCTACTCTTGACACATATTCCAGTCAGGCTCCCTCACACTGCAGACTCATTTTAACCAACAGAATCATTGTATACAAATTGGCTATAGAAGAAGGGGAATGACTGGTTGAGTTCACTCTGATATTGTAATGGCCATTGAACTGGCCCTGTCTAGAGTCTATATAACAATTTTGCCTCATAACAATTAGATACAATAGTTTTTAATGTCTTGGCATAATTACTAATTTCTTCCAATATAGCAGTGGTTCCCAACTTATTCCGCCGCTTGTGCAGGGAAAGCCCCTGCCGGGCCGGGCCGGTTTGTTTACCTGCCGCGTCTGCAGGTTCGGCCGATCGCGGCTCCCAGTAGCCACGGTTCGCTGCTCCAGGCCAATGTGAGCTGCTGGAAGCGGCAGCCAGTATGTCCCTTTGCCTGCGCCGCTTCCAGCAGCTTCCATTGGCCTGGAGCAGCGAACCCCGGCCACTGGGAGCTGCGATCGGCTGAACCTGCAGATGTGGCAGGTAAACAAACTGGCCTGGCCCACCAGGGGCTTTCCCTGCACAAGTGGTGGAACAAGTTTGAGAACCACTGCAATATAGGGTATGCATAACTTTTGGATTAATTTTAACTATAGGGAAAGTTTGAAGAGTTGGTTATTCCATTATTAGGATCATTGGGACACAGGAATGACAGACACAGATATTAAATTTCTTAAAAGGACCAGCTTTTAATTAATTTTAACTCAAACCTATTAGGAGATTTACTTGTAAATTCTCAGAAAATGTATTAGATAGTCATAGAGCAAGCGTGGCATGTTTGGGGAGAAAATGTTATATTTTTCTTACATTACAAACAGCTTGAATCTATGGTCTAAATGCAAAATGGAACCTCAACTTTAACTACGGAAATATAACGTGTGTTTTGAAGTTTACCTTGTTTTCTCTTGTTTGTGTAATGTGTTTAAAAATTAGTCAAAACAATGAAAATATAAATCCATAAAATGCATAAAGTTAAGGTCACATTTGCACTGATAATCCTGTATCCATCTTCATCCATCCAATGAAAGTGTGTTCCAGATATAACAAAAAAAAAAACTTACTTTTCATGAGGGGGAGCATTGTTAAATTGCTGCCAGGGGTTCTGGAACTAGGGGTTCTGGGGTTTACACTTTTCTTCAATGGTTTTCAGTATCCCCACTATACAAAATGTTCGAATGCCACTAGTTGCTGCATGATAAAACTGTCATCTGATTTACCTTTGTTCTCTTGGGTTTGTTGCCTCAGATAATGGGGCTGTAATGGGGTCTACAAATCTCATAGTGAACATAGACAGAAGAGGAAGGAGATTCTCTCCTGTTTATAGGCTAGCAGCTTGACCATACCCCCATACAGCTGCCAGAGCTGCCAGTCATGGAGGCAGGTACCCACAGCTGCAGCCAAGAGAGGAAACAAGGCCTGCTATAAAGAAGAGAACAGGCAAAGACAGGGAAGCACAAGGGTCTAGGAGAGTAAACAGGCAACACCCCTGCACCACGCTGCCTCTATGAACACAGCCAAGAGGCTGAAACAGACTGCTAGACTTAATTAGAGATGAGGGTCCAAGAATTGCCCTGACTGTGGGCAAATTAAGGAGGGCCAGTCAGACCACTCAAAAGACCATACCAGAAGCTAGTGACATGGACAACTATATCAAATACCACTAGGACTTTGTCTGAAAGCCTCATTTTGCATACTGCCTTATTTCAGTTGTCCTTGATGGTTTAACCAAGGCAGAATGAGAATATACTGCACAGTCCACAAACAACATTCACTTTAATGGCTCCTTTACAACAACCATACAGCACACTATGAAAACAGCAGAAGAAACTGAGACACCATGGAAAAATGAAAGGGAAATGCAAGCCAACAAGAGACTGCCTGTTACCAGTCACAGAGTGTACTGCTTTCAGAAAAACAGATTTGAGGACTGGGGAGTGTAAAAGCAATAATGAACTGAATCACCTCATCCGGACTAAGCAAACTTAAAACAACCTCAAAAGGTAATTAAAATACATATAGGGACCAATAAGTGACTTTGGAGCCTAAGTCCCATTGACTTCCCATAAAATGTAGGTTTTTAAGTGCTTACATAACTTTTGAAAGTGGACTTAGGTATATAGGCCTTGCTGAGCCCTGGGCATAACTAAGACTATGATCCAGAGTCGGCCTTTGCAGAATAGTAACACACTAGGTATCAGCTAACCATGTAAGCACATTCCTGACTGGAGAGGATGGTACAAAAATACACAAATCTCTCAAGTGACTACATAAACACATTAATACGAGATGGTACAAGAACACACTGACCCCTCCCTAAAGATAAGGATGGAATGACAGGATAATGGATGAGGAGGTTTTGTTCAAACTAGCAGGTACAAGGTGCAAGGGTGGTAACTAATAACATCTGGAGTGTAATATGTAATTTGTTTGTATCAACGTATAAATGGAGAAGTCATAGGAAGGGTATCTTTGTATTGGCATAGGGCAGTGGTTCTCAACCAGAGGTACATGTACCCCTGGTGGTACGCAGAGGTCTTCCAGGGTGTACATCAACTCATCTAGATATTTGCCTAGTTT